CTATTTCTACAGAGCTAGAATTGCCTAACACCTGTTACAAAACTTGCAGAGATCTCATTTTAACCTCTTACTGGGATTTTGTAATTTTTACTGAAATTCCTTGATACATTATGACAAAAACTCCTAAACCATTTTACAGTGGTAAAATTGGAAATGAAGAAACAGTGGACTGTGGAAAATCAGCTTGCTGTTTTGAAATAAGAAGCAAAGCCAGAAGGGAAAAGCACATTCAAGAGATCAACGTGGAGTTTGTAAAAGCACACATATATGTGTGTGGGGGGATGAGGAATCTCTTCTGCTCAGTTCTGGTGTGCATGGCACATAATACATTAAAAATTAAAAAAGCAAAGTGTCTGCCCATTTTTAATGTGAAAGGAAGGTTTGTAATTCAGTATTTTGTTACAATGACGGTGCCTTTAAACTTTCAATCTTTCCCACCCTCTACCACCCAAGAGGGTTAGGGACCTTGTCTGCTATCTCTTCTCACAGCTGGGGCAGCTGTCAGCAGCATGAATAGAAACACCCTCTACACAGGAGGTGGTTCCCCAAGGCAGCAGGAGAGCTCTGGAGCACCCTGTGTGTAGGAGTGGGCACTATCTCAGGCCTAACATGCTACCAGGTACCTGCACAAGCAGTTCCAGTCCAGCTGACACAAGGCTACACATCAGGACTGTCTGGTAAGTCTATTGTATACAGATAACTCTCCATTAAAATTGCTCCGTGCAAAAATGTATCATCTAAGCAATGCCTGAAAAGAGAAGAGGTTTGGGATTGGCGTATCTGGAAGATGTACATCTCACTATCAACAACATCAGTGTTTTGCCCAGCACAACCTGCCTGCTACTGAATCTCAGGACCATACTGTGACAGCAAGAAGAGATCCCAGCAATCCAGCATCACCTTGCACTATGCCTTGCAGGAGATTATTAAGTCCCAGGCACAATTTCTGGTCCCCTGCTGAGGTCAGACTGCCTGAGCAGCAAAGATCTGCTTGGCAGGAGATTAAAAACAGTCTCTCTCCAGAGAGCTTAAAACCCCACTGTCATAAAGGCAGGTATTTAACCAGCTAGTACAGAGATTCGAGTTCCATCTGTCTTTACACACAGCAAGCAGGTAGAGGAAGCTGTGCAAAGGACAAGATTTCCCATTGCTATGTGTTTTTCCCATTTAAGTAAAGCTGATTTAGGTTGTACTAGCACAGCCTATGTATATTCTACACCACAGAAAAAGAATATTCATTGCCTTGTACGGGCTCTGAACACATGCAACAGTCATGTTCTCTTGGGAAATTTCTTTTGCCTTCTTAAGCCTCTATTCCGTCCCATGCCCTGTGTGTTTGATTGGTTTGGGGCTTGGTTAGATTTTTCCTTTTATAAAAGAAACCATAAAGAGATGACATAATTCATCTTAGCAAACACTTTTTAATAGAAACATATAATCCACCTTCTCACATAAATATTTTACATAGACACATAAACACGCACAATACTCAAAGCTATGCAATGTTCCAAAGCTCCAGTTCTGTTTACAACAGTGCAAGAAAAATAAATTAAAAAATCATCACACAGGAAGAATGGAAACGTCAAGTTTCTAAAGCATAAATAATCAGACTATTTCTCCTGTGTCCTTACAACTCACTTACCTACTGCCTGCCTCAAAGTGCTAGCCAGTTTTGTTCTGACACCACAGCTGCAGGGGCAAGCAGAGACAATGCATGTTCACTAATAATACCTTGTCAGCAACAGAGGTCATTCCAAGAGGGATTCAACTGTGATCCTGCCACATTAGAAGGGATCACACCACTCTCTCGGAAATCAAGCTAAGATGGCTTTGGAAGTGATTATCAGATATGATCGTCAGTGTTGAACTGCTGGCATGATGCAGGTAGGTGATTCAGCACCTGTGTCCAGATCATTCAGATTGTACAATGACCATTTGTTGCTAATTAGAAGCATTAAACCTTGATTTGCTATCGCTATCAAGAAGTAACTTAAATAAATCACTTTAGAAACAGTGTTTTTGAAGTGGGGAAAAGGGTGAAGGATAGTCAAGACTGGAGCTGAGTAGTCTTGTGCTTGCCTATGCGATAAAGCTTTCAGAACAAAGTGAAACAGAACGTCAGGCTTTCCCTTCCCCCATATATGAGACCTGACAAAAGAAATAATAAAGAAAAACAACAAACTTGCACGGCAAAATTCATTTTCCCCAGCTCACAGGTATGTAAGTTTTTGGATTTGCAGCACCAACAGTAGATGAAACACAGTGCAGTTTAGAGTCTCTGTTTCTTAAACTCAAAGGAGCCTGGGCTAATTCACAAGCCAAAAGCATATAGTTTTTTCCTCTACTGCAACAACAAAGCATCAACTCATTTTCCACAAAGGAGAACAGAAGAACTTTCCAAAAGAAAAAGCTAACACTGTTTTAGGCCTGAATCCAGATTTAAAACCAACAAACCCCCCCACAGCAGACTTTAAAACACCAGCACATGGGAATCAATTCTCTAGTTCCTCCTTTGTTACTTGACCAGGCAGCAGTACAGGGCACAAAAGCCACTGAACTGTTCCTGCATTTGGGGTTTCTGATGAAGATGTTACTTAATTCCAGATTTACCACCTGGCATTCTTTGTTTGCTTGCCTCATTTGTGAGAACCTATGTTTTTGTCTGCACAAATTGCACAATGCATTGCCATTGCTAAAGCAGGAGCTAAATTACTTGTGAAACACCTTGCACACGACCCCACACACTGCCCCTGACTGCCACAGCCCAGGATGATCAACAGACCCAACTCACACACCGGATTTAGAAAGCCCCAAATAAATTCAGGCTTCCAGCACAATGGTGGTTTGATCCCTACATAGGGGAATAAAAGATAATTGAGGTAACTCATGTAATTGCCACCTTATACTGTCAGGTCAGCAATCCTAGACCCGGTTCTCCAGCTCTCTGTGCCACTAGTGCTCAGGACAACAAACAAGCAGGATGTGCAGTTACCACAGTTTCACGCACTCTCATGAGTTCAGGTCACTAAAGGTAGGAGGGACAGTAAAAGAAAAGAACCCTTCTTCTTATTTAGGGTTTGGCAAATAGTGTGCCAGATGCCTGACAGTGAGAAGCAGCAGGGGGAATCTGACAGCTTACCAATCACAACGTGGAATGATTTGATGCAGTGCTCTATTATTAACACGTACACACGTGCACACAGGATCTTCCAACACCGTTCCTGGGGACTCCTGCACCATGTAGAGCCAGACTCCCCTCACAGATGGGCTGAGACTAAAAACAGGCAGCACCTTCCAAGCCTCCAGCCTGTCCCCTGACACTTTACTCAACTTTCACATCAGTCATCAGACCTTCTTAGAATTCAAATCTTGTAAAGAACACCTTTTACAACCCATGTCCACTCTACTATTGTGCTTGTGAGGTTGCCAGGGCAGGTAGTGACTGTCCAAATCACACTCTAAATTTATGAGTAACGGGTAAAGTAGTATTGGTGGTTTGTACAGCTACAGTGTCATGTCTCCATCTTTAGAGACAGGTGCTCTTGGTTCTAAAGTGAATTGTAATATCCCTAGATATTTAAGAAAATAAAAGCCAAAGCTACGTTTTCTGCAAGGCACACTACAGAACACTTCCATGCCCAGCTTCATAGCAATGCTAACAGAGCTGCAAGAGACCCAACCCAACACAGAGGCACAAGTGAAGAGGAGAGCAGGCTCTACTCAAGTTTGGACAGCACACATTGTGAGGTCTGTGTAACACAGTAGGAAAGAGGAAGAAGGCACAGTGGATGAAAAATGTGTATTTATTTCTAAGCCTAAACTCATGGATACTCAAATTTGGACTACCTGATATGAGAAAATGATGAGCCAGGAAAATATGAAGGGTCCACGTGGAGCCCAAAGAGAACTAAAGTTCTGTACCAAGCACTCATAAGGCTCAAACTTTGGAGAAAGCTTACAGAAAGAGCAGCCTTTTCTCACCAAACCTAAACATACTCCATATGCAATCAGCAGCTGCTTTTAAGAGAAATCTGAAGTACCAGTACCTGCATTTACATTTATGCATTATGAGCTATGACTCTAAATGCTACATCTAAGGACCAGTTTGCACTGAGGGTGTTGATCAGTGATTGACAAATGAGTAACAGGAAGCAAATAAGTCTCTATGACAACTGGATTAAAAAAAATACACCAAAACCCACTTAAGTGTTCCTGATACAGGTAGACTAGCAGGGGTGGGTTTTTTCAGAGAATAAGTACAACTTTGGTAGCAACAATTTCTAAAGTGCCTTATGCTTCTTAATTCCTGTGCAAACACTGCTGTAGAGGCAGAATCACATTTCAAGGGTGTTAAGATGCTCAATCACATAATAACACATAACTCAGCAAGGAGGTTCCAGCTGCTCTTCCTGCTAGAGCGCACAATACAAAAGCGATGACAGAGACTGTGTTTCTAGCTTTCTTTCAGCAGCTCATTTCTCTTCCATCTACTCCTGCAATATAAGCATTAAGAGAAACATCCAGTCTCCCACTGGGGTCTGGAATGCTCCCCTGTGAGAACAAAGCATATGAGGAAGGAGGATCTATATGAGATTGTGGGTCACTGTGGCCTCATTTGTCACATCAGCAAGGAACAAGCTGGCAGTTTCTGCCATCACTGTTTTCTCCTCTGCTCTATCAGTGTCTCATTGCACAAAAGCTGGTGAGCAGAGCTATTTTTAAAAGGGGCTTCTCAGCACAGTTACCAGGCTGTGGAAACCCTGTCATTTCCCATGGCAGTCTGCAAATGCAGCCTTTCTGGAATGCACTGATCACATGATGCAAAGATCCATCCTTCCTTTCCTCTTCTTGCCAAAAGACCTAATCCCCTGTCTCAGAAGGGCTTTCTTCCTCCTGGCTGAGCAAGGTTTATTCCTCTGTGGAACTGGGAACTTCCTAGTGCCAGTTGATCACAGCAAGCGGGAGAAGGAGTGAAGCTGGTAATTTCTTGTGCAACTCAGTCAAGATTTCAAGCCCATTTTTTCCATCATCTGTTCATACACCGTCCATGCCATTGCTGCCATCAGAGTGCGTCTGAGGGCACGGGGCACACCTCCTCGGAAAAAGCCAACCAACCCGAAGTCCTGCAGCAGGAGATAAACAAACAGTGATCCATCACAAGCTGCCTCCAGTACTTCAATTTCTCATCATCTATTACATAGAAGAGCACAGGTTATATTTCAGCTGAGCTTTTGAAAGACCCAGGCTTAAATAGCATTTAATGTTTAGGAAGAACCTGCAGCATTGTGCAATTGCAGGGCTACCCAAATAAGCAGGAAGAGCAGTGAATGGAGAAGGGAATGCCAGGGTGGAGACAATAGATAGGGAAAGTCACACTCAAGTCCAACAAAGAGCAGGCAAGGAGGCAATTGTTCCCAGCACTTCAGGAAAAATGACTTGTCTTTGTTTTAGAGCTTCATATTTACAAAATTCTCTTAGCTATTCTGTAAAAACTGAGATTTATAAGCAGTGAAGTAAATACGCTTTCTGCTATTAGAAAAAATACACATAAAAATGCATGTACAAATGAACAGATTCCTGTTTAGGAATAGAGTCCAATATGGTAACAAAGCAAACCTGCCAAGCTCTGCCCTTCTGAGGGCAGGAAGGGAAAGGAAGACTTAGAGTTCATCTCCATCCTATTCCTGGGATACAGATCTGGGCATTTATTTCTATTTTAGTGTCCAAAGAGCAAAGAATTACTTTGTAGCTGCTTTGTATCTGAAACCAGCATTTCATGCTACAAACTACAGTCTCCATCTCCCACAGCATGACCTGCTTTAGTGTCTGAAAATGCTGACACTGATTAGCCTGACTGCAAGAGCATATCAAGCAGTGACACTTGTTCACCGCCTTCAAAAGGCAACAACTTTCACAGCATAGCTGTGCTTTGGGCAAGTGAGGTTGTGACTGCCATATTAGACAGGATTCACCTCACCTTGTAGATGAAGGCAATGGTCTGGCTTGTCCTGTGGTACTTTTGTGGGGACAGCTGCATGTGTGTTTTGATGACATCAGCAGGCTGTGTTGCCAGCGAGGCCAAGATTCCTGCAAAGATCCCACAGCCAAAATGCAGCACGGGCATAAGCACTGGATCCAGCTGGTCTGCAACAGAGCAAAGGGAATGCACTCAGCCACAGAACAGGCCAAGAACACTCATACTGGGTGACAAAGTGAAAGCTACTGAATGATTAAATCAACATCTGAGTCCAAGAGAGTTAAAATCCACAAAGGAAATCTTAAGGGGAAGAGTGGCTACTAGTCAGAAGTTAGCACCATTAAAAAGCCTCGCTTTCTGGGGAACTGAATTTGACAGAAACTCAGAAAAGATCGTGAAAATGTTGCCCCAGTCAGTTCTAACAATGGAGAAACTCTGCTTTAGTGGAAACTAAGCCATATACAAGACAACCAGCAGCAGAAAGCACTGCTGAAGACACACTCTCTTTCAACTGTACACTAACCCACCTTATGCATCAGTCTTCATAAAGACAATCAATCAATTTAGGGTCAGTTTCCATTTCTGCACTGACCTGGGCTATAGGTCTACAGCTCTCCACAGGAAAATGTGAATGTCCCACCTAAAGCACTACTAAAGGCTAATTTAGTTACTGAGGTTGAAAACAATAAGCAGAGCATGGAGGCTGTTAGCTGCAGGGCAAGATCCAAGAATAGAAACATTTTTCATTTGAGCCTCCAACATTCATCCTTACCCTGAGGTGTGAGCTTTTTGGTCTGTGTGTAGAACATCAGGTAGATGCCAGAGAAGGGTGCATCCCTCAGCAGTGTTGCAGTGAGCCCACTGAACATGCCACGAGCCCCTTCTGTCTGATAGATATTCTTCAGAGCTCCATATACACTCCCATAGCCAAATCTTCCACTCTGCAAGGGTAGACAAAGGTCAGTCATCCATGTGCCAGCCACAGGTTAAGGAGCTCCACACATACCCTGAGGACACAACATCCCAACAAATGGTGATAGGCTTTTAATGAGAATATCTGAGATGACAGTACAGAGGACAGCCCAAGGCAAAAGTTGGGTTTCACCTACCTCAGCCTTTAAAACAATCCTTCAGGAAGGTAAAATATGAAAGATGCTACACAAACATTGTATACAACTGAAACTCAGAAATCCCAGGGTGAATTCTGTTTCATCTTCTTTCCTAAATAGCAATTTGTGGCATTCTCTCCACAGTGTGTGAACCGGGATGAGATCAGAACTATATCCCTGGCTGTACCCATGTAGCAGCAACTTTCTCCAGACAGAAAAATTTCTTTTTCCTGACAAGGCGTGCGACACCATTAACAGAGAACTAACTGGAAAGTCATACCTCATATCGAGTCTTCACCACAGTCACTGGCAACATGCAAATCCCAGAAACTGCACGTGCGGTGGCTCCCAGACAGACAGACTCCAGTGCTGTGGGTGAACGGTCCACTAGAAACTTTTGCTTCATCATGTACAAAGTACTGAAGTAAATCCCAACCCCAGGAATACATCTTGCAAAGGACTTCAGAAGAAATAGAAGCAGATGAAGAAAGACAAAGCTTACATAAGACAAAATGTACTACAGAACATTTTTGAGACCGTTAAACTTGACAGAAAGCTTTGTAGAAAACAAAAAAATAATCACTAAAGGAAAGAAGATAAGGTAAAAATCAGTTATGGCACTGACAGACAAGTCATTCAAATTATGTCGGGATTTAATGCATTCCCCAACAGCAGTCTTCTAGGAACAAGATAATCCAAACCAAAATGAAGTTCATGCAATTGCCATTTCATATTTGCAAAAGTTTTCAAGTGTTCAGCTACTCAGGACTGCAAAACCACATGGCCTGCCATAACTCCTTAAAACAGGATATAATCTAAATCACGTGGTTTCATTCATAATTGTACAAGAGTTGGCTATTTAAATCCAGGCAAACACAGTTAACAATAAACAGGAATTTTATTTATCTACTTATTTTTAGAAGTTGGGATTAATACAGTCACTTACTGGAGAGACACCTTTCCAAAGCCCCAGAATGCTCTCAGTACGAACAACCCTAAAGAGCAGTGCTACCATCCCAGCACGGCCAGACCTGAAAGAAAGACAGGACAGGAACTGCAGAGATGACCTGCTTCTGTTCTCTGGCAGATACACTCCACCACAACCCCCTTCCACTTGTATCTCTCTGCACTACCCCAGCACCTCCAAGGTGCTTTTTCTCAACTCAGCCTGCTTTTCTTGGTCACTCTT